AACAAAAATAAAATAATTGGTTATTTACTCAAGAATTTTGAATTCTTTGTCACATTCACTGCTCGTCAAGTTTAAGAAGAAAGAAAATCACAGTTTGAAGTGTACAGTTTGTTGCGGGATAAACCGGTTTTTCGCGCAGAAAGTGGATTATGCTGAGATTGCATTCTCGAAAAAGAGGATCCTGACTATATTTTACGATAAATAAGCTTCATTATTTCGAATTCGCCGGGTTTTTCCAATAAAGTAGCGCGACTGGTTTGAATAGGAAGGAAACTTTACTCGTTCACCATTGATGCTTTTGAGTAAAACGGCGGCCGCAGTAAATAAAGTTTGCGGTAAAAGCTTATATGGGGGATGTAATGCAATAACGCACCACTAACATTATCTGTTGGATCTTTTTTTTATCAATTTTTTTTTGTGAAACCAACCGACTAAAAAGCCTTGTTTCAAAATCGAGCTTTTCACTCACCCACAACTTTAATAGCGATATATAAAAACACAACAAAGCAAACTACATACAAGAGAGACACCAAAACCTTCATTTGAATAAATTTTTGTGCACAATTTCAATATGAAATTCTCAAAGGGGCCAATTTTCTATGCAACCTCATAAATCGAGCTTTGAATCGCTCGATTCACATTTGTTTCCAAAACTACTAATTGCCAACCCTCCATCAAATTCGAATTTCCCGCGAATTGAATACTATTCTTTTTTAATTTCAAACGAATTGAACTTGAATAGGATTGAAAAAAATTTTTGCTTTGTTATTAAAATCTATTAAATTTCAGGTATATTAATGTCGACAATTTTTACTTTTCAATCCAAACAAATAAATCCATCGTTCGCGTTTTTGTTTGCATTTCGTTGAATTCGAACGCGCACTTCTTCGAAAAGAAAACAACCCCACCGAAAGAGCGAAAGAAATATTCGCTCGAGTGGCAAACTTCGGCCCGCAAATACTACTTTCGCGTCGGTGCTCAAGCAACGAAATTTATCGGGGGCACTGAAAACAACGGGGGCACTTTTTAGGGGGAGTCCCTGAACTGCTGCGCACTACAGGTTTCTTTTAATCTAAGAGGAAACTTGGGACAAAAAAAACTCGGAGTTTATATATCGGGGCTACGCGAAACGGTCGATAAATGCAAATGCTCTTCTACTTTGCCTTTACCACTACCACCACCACCACCACCACCGGGACTTTTCGGTGAGGGTTTTCTCTTTTACAAGGACAGCTTTGTTCGCGTTCACAATTTCCATTTGTCCTTTTTTTCTTCTTTTTTGTGTTCATGACAAGATGTCCACCGTTATCCCACTAGATTCGTTTGCTTTTATGTTGTTTTACTTTGATATCCCTTTCAAAGTATACCAACAGGTTTTTTTTTAAGAATATGTTTTAATATATGTTTGATAAAAAGTTTGATATAAATCTCATCAAATCTAATTGAATTTAGTTAATTATAATTCTAGTTAATAATAGGGTTTTAAATAACAACGATTTTTCTGGTTTTCTTGAGAGAAACCTCACCATCATTTTCAGAGGGTTTAACTCTAACTACCTTCATCCTTCTTGTCTTCTATCTAAAACAAAACAATCAATCTATTTGTAAGCTCAATCGAATGTTATCTATTCAATGTAACAATGGGTTAAGATCTTATTAGGGAAACACTAACCAGTCAATACGTTTACAATGGAATTAATAAATATAAAGGGATGGTTAATTTCATAATCAGAATAAGCCTGTGTTAATAATCAAGTCAATAATGTAATCTATAGCTTTGTTGTCATATCTTGGCCCATTTATGCCGACGACGATTCGAAAAATTGAGAAGAAGAAACTGTCAATGGAACTACTTGCAGAAGACTACTTAATGATGATAGACGACTAAACATTATTCAGTCAGATCTAGATACTGTTAATGGAAGGTTAGGGATTGCTAAGAAAAGATGAGATAATGCTAGAAAAACATTCAAAGTTGCTAATGGAAAATTACATACTGCTTGCAGAAAACTATTTTATGATGGTAGAAAACTTGATGCTGCTTAAACAGGTCTAAATACTGCAGAGAACGTTTAGGCATTGCTAATAAAAGACTAGATACTGCTTACAAAAGACCAATAGAAAGTATATACTGCTTCTAGAAGGCTACTTAATGATGGTAAAAGTCTAGATTTTGCTTCCAAAACTGCTGTCTACATGCAGAAGATTGGACACTGCTAACAGAGACATAGATATTGCCTTCTTGTTACAATTCCTGGTGACATTAGAATGATAATCAGCTATTCCTCGTACTTTTTTGCTCCTTGCTTTTTGGGCAACGCTATAAATTCTGATTGTAGCCATTTTTCCGGGATATTTCCTCAGTTATAGAATTTTCGTGATTTTAACAATCCTTAGTGCATCCTTTGCACTTGCATACAAAAAATAGGTGCAAAAACAAGAAAAATCGCCTGAATTGTTCAAGTTGGATTTCTCTTGTTATCCAGTTATAGTCTAATTAAATCCAGTGTGCGATTTTTCAAAAAGGTATAGCAAAAAATTTTTGAAAACCCTTGCTTTATACTCTTAATGGGCGCAGGAGTTTTTATTTCGTATAGGCTTATCAAAAACGGCTCTGCATTACTCGGTTCCGATAGTCCTAGTGTGCGCCCAGCTGCGCGATTGTTCCCTTGGTAATCGAGTCGGTAATATTGAATTTCGTTGGTATCGACTGCGATTGATGTGTGACTCGTGTGATGAAATACTTTTTTCTCTGAACCGCGTAGACTCAGCTTGTTTTTTTTTCTTGTATCCCATTTCATAATACGTCATTTTTAGATTTGGAGATCATCTCTTATCTATGTTACTAATATTTACTTTTATATTATGTAATACATAAAACGAATTTGTTTATCATAATGAAAAATAAGCTTAAACAAAATCTTGTAGCTTATATAAACCAGGTTAATCTTAGCTTTTGAAGTGGATTTTACTATACACATAACGGCGTGTTAATTAGCCGGAACAACCGCAAGGTTCGTTTTGTTTGTTTTATGAATTGTTGAAAGCACGAAACGTTAGGTAACCGAGGGTAAACGTAAAGTCTTGTCGACCCTTTATTGTATCGTTACCCTTTATTAAGCTTCCTTTATTTACGCAAAACGTATTCGGCTAAAGCAAAAAAAAAAGCCCGAAAAAAAAAAGTTTTAATAATCAAATTTAAATATTTATGGATTTGATGGGATCGCGATTGTCCGTGATACAATCACGACCGGGACTGAAACTCAGTCTTGAAAATGAGAAGTTTTAACAAGTTCCCCGAATTAACTCGCTCGTTTCCGGATTCATAAAGTAAATATTTTCCACGGGCAACTTTTAATGGGCGTATTTGCATTTCATAATTCATCGTTTCGAAGTAACCGAAGCAAGTTTTCGTTATCCAAACCTTATTTCTACGGGGAGAGTGAACATGCAGGTTAACAAGCTCTTTTTAAAAATGTTGTATTCGAAATTTCCTGGAAAATATTTTATTTTAAATTACATTTACAACTCGTAACAGTTAACAAAAGCTTATCTAGAACAAGAACATGCTAATTTGGATGTTAACGGTTAATTCAGGTAATTTGCCTACCAAATTGTTTCTGGAAGCGCGTCCGTTAGTTGCTTAACATTAAAGATGCAGTTGCACTATTCGTTTTGTTTTTATTCTCAATTATATTCTCAACAAAATAATATCACTAAAGATGTAAGTTGGTAATGTTTTAGTAGTTGTAGTTTGGGTAATAAGGTCACCATGGAAATTTCTCTTTATCGGAGTTTCGAAATCTTTGGTGGAGGTGCCGGGGGCACGACATCTAACGGTTAATTCGAGACGCTCTCAAGGATATCACTCGATGTTAGATGAGATACCGACGATTACGGAAGTCCTTTAGCATTTGCAAGACGAGATTAGCTTCTCTTCTATTGATTATACAACCAAGATGACAGTTTATCTACAAACATCGTCTCTAAGTATCTTGTAATAATCTTATAGATTTTAATTCTATTTAATATAGAGTGTATAAAAAATACGCAACTGGGATAGATGCGACATTTTCATGACATCGTCATTTTCCACGTACGCGTTTGAGTTTTCCCGCTGCACATCCCTCGCAGATGTTTCCGCGATGGTCGCTCGTTTTGTGTTCTTGTCATGTACCCGGAGACGGTGGCCCGACGTTAACATTCAAGGATCCCGGTGCTATTCGTGACCGGAACGAGGGTGTAACTGGCTTGAGTTTGCGACATTAAAATAAACTAACCCAACCGAATTATTAAACTACATCCTTTCTGGCATTATTAAATATGAAAGAATCAAAATTTTGATGAAAATATTTGAGTAATTTCCACCTTTAGTGGGTGTCGAAACGAAAATGACGAGATTGAGCTGTCAACCCCTCCGATTTCATCTCTTTTTTTCCTTCACAAACGGTTTAACGTAACCACCCAGTCCCCCCTAATACGAATTTAAGCGACGCCTAAAGTGAACTACCCTCTTTTTAGCCTAATTTCCAAATCCCATTACGACCTCCCCAATTTTAACGCGAAAAGATAAAGTTGTTTGTGATGGATCTACTCGTTCTGTTCGAGATTTAATGTGTAATAGTGAGTGGTTAAAAACTGCTGGTGAAGAAGTATTTGAAGGAATGATAATGATAAATATGAATGTTTACCAAAAGCTAAGATACTAAACTAATTATTAGAAAGAATAACTTTAAAAGTGATTAAAAGCGTGTAATAAATTTTATGACAACAGGACCGTATTAATAAGTCAAAAGATGTATGTACACCTTCAGCTTATAAAGTCGAGGTTGCTTGTGGCCGAGGCGCTACAACATGATCAGTTTTAGGTTGATAAATAATTTTAATTACTGAACCTCGGCTTAATTAGTCTAAAGATCTACAGCATTGTTTGATAAAGCTTTTGATAAAACATTGTTTGAGATTACGATTATTAACCTAATTTTTTTTATTTGTTTCAGGTATGTAAATTATCTTCATTTTGGTGAGTTTTAAAATTCATTTACTACAACAGGATGTTAATTTAGGATGTGGTTGTATAAATGGTACTAAATAATGTAAACTAGTGTAGTAATGGATATTATTGATTTAAGGCGCGAAGCTAATTAGACCGGAAGCGAAAATTCAGAACAATTTACATCGCCGAAAAAGTTTTGAAATTAACGCGCTGTGCGAGCGCAATCTTAATTTGGCTCAGTTCCTAACAAAGAGCACTTAATATTTTAATCTACGCGATGTGTCAACGCGTTAAATTGCCTCTAAAAGCTCGCGTAGCTTCCGCAAAGCGCTAATTATTTCTGCTACATAGCGAACGGCAATTACGAAAGTCTCGCTTTGGGATTTGTGACTTTGTTCGTACAAATATCTCTTACGGTTAATATATATAAGTGTGTGAAAATAATATTGCTTTACCAGATGGTCTAAATAGCTTGTAAACTTTGCGAAAGTTTTATTGATTTCGCCGAACTTTTCCGCTTAAAAATTCCAACTCGAAACCAGTAACTATCTGCTAAGCCTCACGAAAAACTTTCCTCCAAACTAAACATCCCACAAAAAAATCTCTTGGGAAATTAAACATTCGACTTGTAATCGTTCACATATACGTACATGTACCCTTTTTTTCGATTCTATTTTAAGTTATTTCTGAGAACCCAATAGCAGCCAAAGCTTGAAAGTAACTGATGGTGTGTCGTAACTTTACCGAACTGCGACCGTCCCGAAAACGAGCGCAACCCCGTATCCAGAAATTCTTGCTCGTAGTCGCAAATTTGAACTGCGAAAATCCAGATAAATGCAGAGTGTACGTGCGTGGAGCGCCCATTCGTCTCTGGGACGCCGTTTTTGGGACGTCGTCGGCGTCGCATGCTGCCATTTTATTAGAACGGAAACGCTTTATTGAAACTCGGTCATATTTGTTACGCTGACTTTCCAATTTCAACGAAATAACGTATGGAACTTCCATCAAGATCGTTATATTACCAAACTTGTACAAACCTTATTTACTCGTGATATCTTTCTTTGGGTCCTTTATCCCCCTTTAACTTATTCACGAATCCGGGTTTTTTACCCTCTGAACACCTCGTTTGTAACGAGTCTCCATTTGTCTTCCAATTTTTCCGCCATCAATTTTTCGGGTAAACGATAGAGGGAAGGAAAAAATCGGGGTGAGAAAAAACGCGAATGCAAATCGTTCCCGGCACCTCCACCCCAATTGGACCGTAAGGGATGTTGCTCGTGCAAGCACTTTTGTGTCGCAGGTGAGCGATGCCGTCGCTCGCCCGATTTGAATTTCATGAAGCTTTTGTCCCTTCTTCTTTCCCAACCATCCTGTTTTCAGAACAAAGTGTGTTCGTCACCGGCGGAAAAGGAGTTACGCGGTTTTTCGTTTCCGCACGTGAAGAGTACCTGTCTATTTAACTTTCGAAGATGATTTCAAGTGGAAATTTATATGTTTTGTAACATTCTTTTTTGTTAGATAGCTTTTTTATAATTTTATTTTCTTATTTATTGAATGATAAATTTTTAATAATGTTATATTTTGAATTGGACGGACGTATTTCAATTACCCTATCCGCAAGCTCCATACATACATACATACATACATAAACGCATACACAATTTCAACGTAGCGATTGTAATTTCAATCAGCAAAAGCGCTACAATCAATACGTGTTCGACATCGACCGCAAATGACAGCATTCGTGTCGTCATATCAATAACGATAACAATTACACCACCCATAACTGCCACGGCAAATACCGTACGAGACCGATAAAACTTTAATGTCACTTACGAAACAATTTTATCGATTATCTGAAAAGTTTTTTGTGAAGTCTCGAAGTATGAGGTGATAATATCGGGTTGTGTATAAACTATGGTATGTCTCCTTTAGGCCTTCAGAACGACATTACAGGGTTGTAGAGGAGAGACGAGCTGATCCCGTACTGGTTTAGAATGGGAGCTTTGAGCCGACGAACGTCCGTTCGTTGCCGGGCTTCGTTCCCAAGGCTCGAGTGCCCCATCGGGACGACCCGGGAACGTTTTAAGAAATGGCCCTTCTGGTAGAATCCAGAAAGCTCGCTCTGCGTGGCACTAGTTAAGCTCCCCCTCTGGATGTAGTTGCAACGGCGGCGACTACGTCGTTCTCGTTCCGGTTAATACCTTGCGCAACCTCGACCCAAAACATTTAAAGCTCGATAGATAGGTAAGGCTGGTGTAACGGGAAGAAGATTTATTTTAGTAATTGAGGAGATACACAATTTTAATGCTATTAGGTAGTACAGTAAAATCTCGATATAACGGAATCTCGTGACGTCATGCACGAGTAGGCAACTACTATTTCATACTTTGAATTTGCATATGCTTAATTTATTCAATAATTAAAACTAGAACTAACCTAGAACTAGAAAGTTTCGCGTTTAGCCGTGCGTCTGAAGAAAAATACATAACAATTTAACGCTGAATAACAATTAAAACTATAATTAACACTAGCATTAAAACTAACACTAGAACTGGAAAGGTTCGGGTTTAGCCGTCTTAAGAGACGTACTGGTAAACCCGAATGATTCTAGTTCTAGGTCTTGTGTTAGTTCTAGTGATAGTGCTAGTTTAAAACTAGAACTCACACTAGAGCTAGAATTAGAAACATTCGGATTTAGCCGCACGTCTCATAATAATAAGCATTTTATTGTTTTTGATAATTACAATTTTCCCCTTAATACATCCTAATATATTGTCATTAGTATATTATTTTCACCCTCTACCCTCTTCCTCCATTTCCATACCCTCGGCTCCTCGGCCCAATCCTCTCCTCATCCATCCATTTGTCTCCTCACCCCCACAACCATTCTCATCCATCGTTTCCCGTCTCCCCCCTCTCCTAAGATCTGCCCTCGGTCCAACTCCTCCTCCCTCAACTCACTGCACCCATTCAACATATGTTCCAACGTTTCCCATTCCTCCCTGCATAGCCTACACCACCTCTCCTCATCGGCCATCCAGTATCTGTTAGCTCTCTCCTCGTTTCCACAACGGAACCTAGCCACCAACTTCTTCCCTTCCTCATCTCCTTCCAATAACAAGTATCTAGGCAGCCCCTCCGTAATTATGTCCCTGTACCTTTCGTTATACCTCCCCTCTTTTATTTGTGTCCTTCTTTCTTGTCTCTGCACATCTCGGTTCCTATCTCTCAACTCCCTCCACATCTCCCTACCCACCCTTCGTCTACTATTTATCTCAGTTACCGAGTAGCCCGCTCGTCTATAATAGTTGTCTCTGTCTCCTTTCCCTTTCCCTGTTTCCCTCTCTAATTTCCCTCCAACACTCCCCCAAGATCCCGCAGTTTGGCCTCCCTTCTATTCTTTCTTCATATTTCACCCCCCCTCCACTCTGACTTTATCCACCTTTTCCCTCACTATATACCTCGGTGTTTCTCTCGCCACCCCAAGCACCCATCTCCAGTATCTAGCTTGTACGTCCTCCAGCATTGCCTGCTCTCTCCATCCCCATACCTCTGCTCCATACATCATCACACTGCTAACCAGACCTTCAAACATAATCTTCCTCGCTGCCACATTCCTTCCAAAGACTCTCTTCCCCCAACCCCATACTTGTCCCATCACCTTATTCGCCTTTTTTGCCATAGCTATCACATGCGACCCCTCCCTGTTATCCTCCCTAAACACATACCCCAAGTAAGTATACTCCCTAACCTCCTCGATCTCCTTTCCCTCCCATCTCCAGTTTTCTGTTCTTTTTCTCCCACCCTTACAAAACTTCATCATCCTTGTCTTCCCCACATTCACTTCCAGCCCCTTCCCCCTAAAATATCTTTCCAATGTCTTTATCATATCTTTCATCTCCGCCGCTTCTCTCGCCATGACCACGATGTCATCCGCATATGCTAACATATGCACCTTTCTACCTCCCACCAACAACCCTCCCATTTGCCCCTTCCCCAATCTATCCTCCAGGTCCGCCGTATACAGTGCAAACAGACTTGGGCTCAGCGGACATCCCTGCCTCAGTCCCTTCGTCGTCCAAAACACGTCGCTTAGCTTATCTCCCACTTTTATCCTAGCCATAGTCTCCATGTATATTTCCTTCACTCTCGCAATTAGGTGTTCCGTGATCCCCCTCCTCCCCATCTCCTCCCACAACTTTCCCCTATCCACCTTATCAAGAGCCGCCTTCAAATTTATAAACAGGGCGTACAATTTCCCTTCCTTCTTATGCAGCTCTCTAGCCGCTATTCTAGCCGCACGTCTCTCAAGACGGCTAAATCCGAATGATTCTAGTTCTAGGTCTTGTGTTAGTTCTAGTGACAGTGCGTGTGAAGACGCACGGCTAAACCCGATACTTTCTAGTTCTCGGTCTAGTATTAGTTCTAGTTTTAATTCAATGAAAAATATACAACAATCTAACGCTGAAATTAGAATTAACACTAGCATTAGAATTAACACTAGACCTAGAACTAGAAACATTCGGGTTTAGCAGTCTTAAGAGACGTACGGCTAAACCCGAGTGTTTCTAGTTCTAGATCTAGTATTAGCTCTACTTTTCATTGCATAAAAATATACAACAATTTAGCGCCGAATAACAATTAAAACTAACACTTCCGTCCTTGATTTATACATCGTATAGACAACTCGGGGAATAACCCGAGTTTATCTATGAACTTGGAATAAAGCAGCTTCCGTTATATGGAGGTTTTACTGTATCAAATACAAATAAATAAAATTTGTGTAACATAAAAATTAGAAATAATTTTCTAATTGGGACTTTATTATTGTTATTTACGAGAAAGAATTTTTTATCTTTATACGACAAGGTAATCTTTACGATTTTGCCACCCCACTATGACAAAATGCCAACAATATTTAAGGAGTCCCTAAATGGATGGTTTAAATGAATAGTAACCCTCTGGAGGAAAATTTATAGGTTGTTAAACGTCAGGAAATACTACCAGAA